TGTGTATGTTTATCTTATTGATTATTGAATAAAATACTGTTTGGCCAATGAGACAGCAAGTTAGACAGAACTAGGAGTCAAAGAGGATTCTGGGAAATGTAGTAGAGAAGTGATGATCCAGGCAGGAAGTGCCATAGCAAGGAGACTCATATTTAAGCGAAGGAGAAACAGGAAGGGCCCTCTTCTCCCCTCCACTCCTGCTCCAGCGGCACAATGTGATATAATAAGATAAGTCTTATAAAATATATAGATTTATGATAATTAAGACTGAGCTAACAGATGAGGAATCCTAGTCATTGGCCAAGCAGCATTGAACCTAATACAAGTTTCTGTGTATTCATTTGGGCCTAACTCGGGCAGGCGGCTTGCTTAAAGCACACACGTGGCAGTGGGGCTCAGGCAGCTTTTGGTGGAAAGATTTATCGTAACACCCAGGTATAGTGTTTGCTACATAATCGTGAGGACTGTATTTTGAATGTCAAGAAGCCATATAAAAGCTGGATGCAATCACATCTACGACCCCAGTACTCTGACTGCAAAATGGAAGCAGAAGCAGGAGAGTCCCCGGGAGCTCTTGGGCTAGCTAGTCTGATCTGTTAGCAATGAATAAGGACACCCTGCCTCAAAACAAGGTGGGAGGTGAGGACTGTTGTACTCGGACCTACACACACCTACACACACACACACACACACACACACACACGGGTTGCTAGTAACTATTTAATTCTTAGATATCTGAACAAACTTTACTTGAAAGTAAATAATGAGGCAAGAACATTTTTTTTTTTACTTGTACAAAACTTTCTAGTTAGAGGCATAGGTATTTAGAACTCAAAATTCGTTGTTAATAGCCACATGGTTCATAAAGGCATATTTGGTACAATATTTTTCTTCCCAGGAAATTTCTCTATAAATATATTAGCATTTTCTAAGCCAGGCATACACTAAACTATAAAAATACTACTAAAGTGTGCCACCTGAGGCCCTAACTTAGGAGAGTTGACAGCCAACCCCAGTCCACAGCCCTTGAAGAGGAACTTTACCCACATTAGCTTTGCAAATTGCCTATTTGAAATTTCATGTCATGAGCTGTAAAAATGGTTCTACAAACTGGGCAGTGGTCCCCAAGTTTTTTTTTTTTTTTTTTTTTTTAGAAAAAGGGAATTGTTGAGTTTGAGGCCAGCCTGCTCTATAGAGCTATTTCTAGCCCAAAACTAAAAAAAGAAACCCTTTCTTAAAAAAAAAAAAAAAAAAAAAAGTAGCACAAGCTGGGTGGTAGTGGTACACACGTTTTAATTCCAGCATTCAGGAAGCAAAGACTGGCCATTCTCCCATTCACTTTGTGACTTTGAGGCCAGCCTAGTCTGCAGAGAGACTTCCAGTACAGCCAGGACTACACAGAGAATATATATATATATATATATATATATATATATGTGTGTGTGTGTGTGTGTGTGTGTGTGTGTGTATGTGTATATGTGTATATGTGTGTATATGTGTGTATATGTGTGTATATATGTATATATGTATATGTATATATATGTATATATATGTGTGTATATATGTGTGTATATATGTATATATGTATATATGTATGTATATATATTTCATTAACTACCTAGATTACAGCCTCTGATAATTAATTTTCTCTTCTGCAATCCTTTCTTGTATGGCATCATGAGGAGGCTGATTTGAACTCAGGTGTCCACACTGAAAATTTCTGACCACACCCTGTGTTCAAGCACTTCACCCATGGATCTGAGCCCCCTCACACCCCTGAATTCCTCTCTTTCTCTTTATGGCCTCAATTCAGACATATTGCCAGGTGCTGCCTAAGTTCCCCAGCCCTGTGCTGCATTCTGGAAATTTCTCCAACTCTAGATAGCTAGGACAATTCAGAGTCTGTGTTAGCATTCAGGCACACCGGGCCCACCCCTTGGAGACCTGGAAGAGTATGTCACCCCTACACACATGTGCTTACCAATACTCAGGCAATACTCTGATCTGCTCAGGGCCCTGACATCATCTTCAGCTTCCTCACTACAGCTATGCCCACTTAAAAAGGCAGAACCCCGCCTGCTTTTCCTCTTCTTCCTCTTCTTTTCTTCTGCCCATCTCTCTCTGTCTCTTTCTCTCTCTTTACTTCTTTGCCTCTGTCTGTCTCTCCTTCTCCTTGGTTAAGCAACATCCAGAGCCTCCCCACCTACCCTGTGGGGGCTCTGGGGTCAGGCACTTCCCAGTTGAGCAGGAGATAAACAAGACTGACTTATGTCAACACTGGACACAAGCACAAAGAGCGGGATATGTCCAGTGAAATAACCTGCTGGTGAAAACTGAGAAAAGGGCACAGGTGTCATTCATTAAGAAAGAGTCAAAGAAGGGAGGTCACAAAAAATGAGACAAAGTACCACAAGAGAGAGAAGCCAAGACACACGGGGAACCATTCCTGAAACCACAAATGGAGGACTAGCCT